GAGAAGTTAAGCAGCCCATTAAAAAAAGCCGCTAAAACCAACACTTCTGCAATCTCAAGAGTTCATATATATTTAAAATACACCAAGAATATTGATTGTACCGCATTTTTTTGATACAATTGTATCAAATGCGAAAGGGTCGAGCGCACAAGACACTTACTGCCCCGTTACGGTCGAGGTGAACCATCATGTTCGTGACTAGGAGCAGCTTGCGATGATTCGTGCTCTCGTCATACGTGCTTGACCTGAGACATATGTGATTTATACAGATGATGCGTCTATGCGCACAGCGACTTCCTCACTACAACTCTCACAGAAGATGGCAACATAGTTATCCTTTTCTGCCGAGTTTGCCTTCGAGGCAAAGTATAAATCGGGTCGGCTAAACGTGGTGGCGGATGCGCTATTGCAAATAAGCTTTTATCTGCATTTGTCGAACCTTACATCAGGCAAAGCATAACGTTGAGCACATACAAGCACAATTAAATTAAAGTTCTTTTCACCTTCTTAGTGCCTATCCTAATCGAGTTTCCACGCTGCACATAAATATAAATTCTCTTCCATTTTACAGTTCTCTTTCATGTTAAAAAAATTAACCACGCAAATTTTTTTTGTGTAAACTTGCGTATCAATGAATGCTATATATGGTATGATTTAGTCGACACCGTTGTATTCCCGAATATGAGTCTGCGCAAAACTTGGAAACGTGCGGCGTCTCATTTTGTCAAGCTCCGACCGCAGATATTCAATCTCGTTTGTCTGTGCTTTTGCTAAATCAACTAATTTGCGTCTCACAGCAATGGCCTTGAGTCTTGTAGCGTCCTTCCGAGCACCCCCACCAGCTGCTTGCTGGCGTTTGGCTGCACTGGTTCGACTTGTTAAGATATCTTCTCGAATCTTCACTTGCGTCGTTAATTGAGTCACTTGTTGCTCCAACTTGTCGTTTTCTCGCTCCCGTTCTCGCAATTGACGCTCATATTGGGAACCAGTCTTCTCGAGTTTAAGCACTGTAGTCTCATGATTACGACTCAAGTGCGTTAACTTTGCTTCAAGCATCGCAACTTGGCGCTTCTGCTTATGTGAAGTATCTCCACTATGAAGGAGCTCTTGCAACTCTTTCGTGACGCGTAGGAGTTGAATATCCGTATATTGTTCATCCATATCACGCGTTTGGAGCTCTAGCAACGCATGTTCCCATTCCATAACATTAATACTCTTCCGAAAATCCTTAATACGACCAAGAATGCTGACTTGGTCGTTTCCGTGCATCTGAATCTCCTCATTTAAAGCTTCGACGCTCATGCGGCTAACCAACAAAGCGTCGTCTCTGGTGGTTTTGACTTGACATTCATCTTGCCCCTGTTTTATGCGCACAAGCAGAGGGGCACTCTCTGTCAGCGCCGTGTATTGTCGACTTGAAGATTCCAGCTCTTGCTGTTGATTTTTACGTCGCTGCTGTAATTCTAATAAATGCGAGCGTAGCTCATCATTTATGGTCTTTGCTAACGCCAGCATTTCTGATTGTTCCTGAACGGCATGTTCGGCGATAATTTTCTTGGCACGCAATGAGTTTAGAGCTCGCCAAAAACGATCTTCGATTAGAACTCCAGCAGGACGATCAGTGGCATAATCTAGAGGCGCCACAACGAGTGGCTGGCTTCTGGAATCAGATCTTTCGCGTCTCAACGAGCCACTTTGGAGGGTGCTAACGTACTGAAGCGGGCCACGGCTGGCATGCGCAACCATGGAGTCGGTTACACCAGATGTCTTGCTCGGTAAATTGCTCAAAGACCCTCCTTCTCCATGAAGACTTTCGGCTAGTAAACGTTGCTTCGCGCTACCTTTCACTCGAGTCATAGACGTTGTTTGCTTCTTGGCATCTAGGTCAAACGCGACTGCTACAAGGTCATTCGGCTTTCGCTTGCGATAAAGCTCGACCAAGTGTTTCATGAAATCTGGGGAGTCGAGCTGACTCGCACTCGCTTTCCCTGTGCTACCGCTATTTTGTACCATTTCTTCGAGATCACGTACAAAATTTTTCTCAAGAAGTTTATCCTCTTCCGATGCACGATGTAAGTCATCACGACAAATTTCAAGCTGCGTGGCAAACTGGTCACACTTAGATCGAGCTTGTGCTTCTGCCTCTTGCAGGTCTCGTGCCTCGTCATCATGATTCCTCAACACAAGCTTTAATTCTTCACGTCGTCGAATCTCTTCACCGAGTTGGAGCTCGTACAATTCCTGGGCGAGTACAGCGCCCTGTGTTGCCATGTAGCGGTCGTGCAGTGCACGTAACTTTCCGTCGAACGTTCGACAAAGCTCCATCACGTCTACCCGAGTCTTACGCAGTTCCAAATCGAGACTCTTACGGTATTTTTCGCGATCGTCCTCGAATTTAGCCTTAGCAGCTTCAAATTGAAGCACAAGCTTCTTCTGTTCGACTGTCATCTCATCCGGTGGAATTGTCAACATCCAAGATTCCTTGACTAGCTCTTGCGCTGCGAGTGGATCCTTTCGAATTTCTAGAGTACCATCCATCATATCGATAAGCGCACGTTCACCATCATTGTCGTGTCCTCGACTCATCTTTCGCTCAGTGGTATCGTGCGCCTCATGTTTACGCTGATTGCGACATTCGGGAGGTTCGTATTTGCTTTGGTTCATTTCCCCAGACATCACACTTAAAATGGATTCTGCTGTCTCTTCGGGTCCCCACTGTGGCTGATATAAGTCTCCAGCATCTACATTGACTTTCAACTCGGTGAGTATCTGCACGATCCTATCGTTTTTTGTCTCTATCTGCTCAAGTATTGTCTCCTTTAGACGTACAAGATCTGAAAATTCCAAATTATACGCGCGCTGAAGCTCACGAGCATAGCAACGAACCAGGTGCATTTGCACTTGAGCCTGCTTTCTGGTACGTACGGTGACAGGATGGTAGATGAAGTTGAAGCTTGGCCAGCTTAAGTACTCTTGAGTCTTTTCCGTTACATTGGTGCCAAGCTGGACTTTTGGGCGCAATGCAACAGCGTTTAAAACCCACTGTAGATCACTTGGAACGGTAGCCTGGAATCGTTTGGACGTTTGACACTCAGGATCCTCATCATTCTGATGAGCTAATTCAACCATTCGAAGCGTAGCAATTTGTTTAGCAGTTTTTTGCTCACTTAAAGACTTTCGACGCAAGGGGAAGTTGTTGACGAAAAATGATGCGGAATGTCCATTTGACTGTGAATATTGCTGCACTGATGAGGGTGAGAGAGCGTTGAGGCGGATGCCGGGAACTTCAGCCTCGTCCCAAAACTCTCGCTTCATCCGTTCCCGAATGATGGCCATCCGTGCAACATCACGTGTGATCTCCTCTCGTATTCGCTCTGCTCTTGCTGCATGTTGGCTCAACAAGCTGTCACGCCACGCGACGTTAAGGACAAATTCGTCTCCCGAGAGCTTTTCGTTCTCCGGAAGCTGTTCGTTTTTGGCCAGTATACCCTCGAGTTGTTCTTCAAGTTCTCGTAGCTTAAGACGTGTGCGCTCTTTGCTAGGATCGGATATATCTTGGTCGGTTATCGTCTTAGAGCGGATGAAAGCCTCAATGAAAGGCGTTCGATCTTGCTCCAATTCCGGCTGGTATGTAGCCTCTAAGACTTTCATGAGAAGTGGAGGGTCTGCACTCTTTGCTTCAATGAGATTTACAGACCCATTGAACAAATCAGCTGATAGGGAAACATCGAAGAGGAAAACACAGCCATCGATTCCTGTGGAAATTAATTGGATCTTCGTGAAATCATTCCTTTCAGACGATATGTTTTCATTTGTGAAAACAAATTGCAAAGTTGTCATCGGACCATAGTGAGTCATCAGCGTACGCTTCTTTATCGCTTGCAATGCTTCTAATTCATCAAAAGTGTCAGCCGCTGATTCAGTAGACCTTCGGCCATTTGCTTTGTAAAGTGTCCAAAATGTAAGTGAGCCATCCATTCCACCCGTCACAAGAAGCTCGACATCGTTTTCTAGCACACGAGGAAAATGAGCGAGAGCTGAAATGCCATCACTATGAGCTTGTCTGATCAAAACTTTGGAAAGAATGCTCATGTTGCTCGTAGAATCACGTGATACATCGCGATACTTTAACAAGATAAGATCTGTATGATGCGGCGAGGCTGCAATCATCATACTACTTGACGAACCAGCTAGAATTCGTAATCGGGTACTCATTGATACGATCCCTTGACCGGATGCGACAACGTTGGGATAAAGCTGTATGGCTTCTCGAAGAGAGACGTCTCCATGACCAGATGATGTACTGCCCACCGAGCGCTCTTCCTCAGAATGAGACTCGAACCGTGTACTGTAGAAAAGTCCACGAGATGAAAAACACGTTAGTGTAAGTGAACTACCAACGGAACAATTCCACTGGATATCTACGACACGTTCATCTGGGTTTTCGAAAGTGAAGAAAGCCAGTACTGGAAATCGCTTTTCGTGGTCCATAGACAGTAACAACACTTGTCCGCTATGTGTTGAAGCTACTAGCAGCACAGAATATGTAGGGTGCAGTACTACAATATCAAGTGGCGCATCAGGAGGCAGCGCTTGTATCGAATGTTGCGGAAGAACTTCAACGCCGTCTACAATTTTCGCGATACAAAGGAATCGCAATCTCCCTTGATGATCTCCTACAACAGCAATGGGATTTGCTGGACGAGAAGCTAGCGCAGTGATCATTACAGAAGGAATATGTGAGCGAATAATATCCGTTGAGGCTGCTTCTGGTGAAGAAGCTGATCCTTCACTTGTACTTAGGACTTGAGCAAACAGTTCGGCAACGTCGACTTCGGCAGCTTGCTGACAGCTTTGAAGGTTCCAAAGCGTGAGGCGTCCGTTTATACCACCAGTCGCGATTAATGCATCAGTCGAAAATGTGCCTCCAAACGGAGTGACAACAGTGCTATCACAGACTGGACCTGTCGGAAAGCTAGCATATAGAGCGATGAAAGCAGAGTTATCCGAACCACGTTTCGATTGGCTTCTTGCAGATTCTTGTGTGGTTCCATCCTCTTCAATCTCGGAATCGTCCTCATTGTCTTGCAAAACGTTCGTACGAATTTCAAAGATTTTTCCATTCTGTGTGCCTATGTAGGCCTTAGCATACGAGGGCGTCGGGGCTATCGCCGTCACTAAGGCTCCACACGTGATCATTTCAGTGTACACCAGCTCCCAGCTGTGCATCTGAAGCCATGCAACTGCCCCATCAGTGTAGACGACAACGGCTGTTTCCATTGTAACGACGATACCTACAATACAGCACTGATCCGGTCGAGTAGCCGTCTTTACAACATGCACGACTCTCACTTTGGTCGCATCCACAAGTAGCAAATTACCGGCGTTGTCGGCAACCAGCAATTGACTATTTGGGATCCATGCATGACATAAAAATTGCGTGTGTTTCTCATCCATATCGACATCCGATAAAGGTTCGATGACTTCAGTTGGAAAATCAAAAAGTGCCACCTTTCGCGGTCGCAACAAACTGGACGCTGTCGTTTTTCCGGCGTACACTTTCCAGATCTCAAGTCCGTCATTACCCCCAACGACAAACTGATTATTGTTTGCTGGGTCGAAAGAAGCGAATCGTGGGGATCCACCAATACTGGCATGTTCACACCCGTTTATTGGTGACAGTGTCTCAATGTCCCAAACACAAAGTGTCGAATTCTGCGTTGCACCAACGATTGGCGGAGCAGGTTGTATACTCAAAAGTCGATGACCACAGTGCGAAAATTTAATCAAAGAGTGTTCAAAGACTTGAGCGTCGTTACTTCTGAGTTGGCTAATTAGTTTTTTCTCTGGATACGAATACAATGAAATAGGCGCATGGGGTTCCCGAGTGGCGATCGCAAACGTCGACGTGGTCCAATTACAGTCGAATGTGACAAGTTTGCGAGGCTGAGAACGTAATAAAAAATGCTGACGACCAGTTGGTGTGCACGTGAAATGCATCGTATAGCCACTCACATACACGATTGTGCTTTCGTCAACAAGTTGCAAAGAAGGCGAATTTTTTGCGCTTCCATCATACCCAAAGATATGGCGAATTGAAGCATCGACTGACATGTGCAACCGAGATCTTGCCAAGAAACGGGTGAACCGTCACCGTGTAAAGTTAAAACATTTCAGTAATTTTATCATCGAGACGTCACTATATTCTGGTTATGAACAGTGGTAGCAAAATCTACTGTGACGCATAAAATGTAAGACTAATCTCAATGACATGAAGAGATAAACTGAATTATAAAGCGAGCTTAACCCCACGTACAAAGAAAACATCATATGACTTACAATAGTCATATTCTATAAAGTGCAAGCGAAGATGTGTTATGTGCAGTACAGAGATCACTTTCGAGTAGCCCACCACGGCGCGCATTCAGGACCGCAAAGACCGGATCACTGACGCGCTCAACATGGCTTAGTTTTGCTCATATAATGCCGATTGATTTAAGCGGGAGGACGGTCGCATGGCCAATTCGCCGGAATCATCGTCCCCAGCCACTGAGACGACATTGACGCGAAAGGAGACGCTCTTTGTTGCCCGCCTTTGGTTTCTGTTTGCGAGCTGAATGCACAGCTTTCCCAGAGAAGTTTGACTTGGTTTTATTGGCTTTATACACGTATTTGCAAGGAAAATAAAAACGTCGGTCGCGCAAAACTACTGCAATGCTGCTTCATTTCTTTTGGTTTGCAGAATTTCCGTCGGAATGGCCTCCAATTCGCTAAGGGAAGTGCGTTGCACAGGACAACTGGTCTCTTAATAAAAAAAAGGCAAAAGGTGCAGTAAGTCATAATCCGAAATGGCGCCTGCGAAATCTTGCCGGAATGGGTCCTCAAAGACTCCAATGGATCTCGATGTAAGGGTATCTCTTACATATTAGCTATAGTTCTGGTTATTCCATCGGTCCACTTTCAATGTTCGAGATTGATGGCAACTAGTTTAAACTTCTCCGCACGAAATGCCAGGACCGTCTGATGTATGGCCCATGTGTATCGTGCCATTTGTACAATTTAAAGAGGCGCTTGCAGCTGCTCTCGCTCAAAGACGCCAATAACCTCTTGCTCAGTCTTGTCTTTATTCGGTTAAGCAGATTCTCCACAACGTCTTCAACCTTTTGTAGATTAAATATATTGTGGGGAATCTGCTTTGACAAGTGGATGTTTGACGCAATATTTGATGATCATTCCTTTCGAGCTTGTCGAACTAAATCCCTACAATCAGCCGAGGCAAGCCTATACTGTATGCTTTCTCCTCACTGGTCACATTAATCCTGCGCTTGCTTTTAGGCCTTTTGAAAGAGTTGTGGGTAAGTTTGCATCCACAACCGTCGATCTGCCTAAATGCATTGACTTCGACATCTCATTCGTCATTTTGATGGTGGCAATCGATTTCACCGAGTCGCTACCGCGACCACCGACGCGCTTACCACCTAGCTTGGCAATGCAAGAACGTCTGATACAGCTGGATGTACTTACCACCAGACACGGCAGACGGGACGTCATCGTCAAACAAATAGTAGACGATAGGATAACGAATCAAGACGGCGAATTTGCAGCGCTAGCCGTTTGTCCCAAATATTTTGGTTCCGGTTGCCCGTCGCACCATCGAGTATAGACAGGACGCATTGCTAAACTCTCCTGCTTATATTGCGGCGTCTTGTTCACCTTTGCGACTTTCAAGCGTACGCATCTGATTTGTATACACATCAAATGATGCGTTGGCAAGGTCGGACAATATACGACATGCACGATCCGTAAGAATTGCAAGCGCGAAAATGTGTACTATGTGGATCTGATCTGTCTTTGAAAACGCTTCGGATCCACACCTGTGCTGAACAAAGCTTGAATGTCTCTCAGAGTCAAAAAATATGTCCCGGAATGGCTAACTGTCCGGCTCAAAGAGCCCGACTAGGCAGTCGAATTTCATTTTGCCATTGACATGCGCCAGAGTATTCAAAAAAGATTAGTGCATCGATAACAACCTATTCGAAAATTGCTACCCACACAAGCTTAATTGGTAAAGCCGCCATGAAACTTCCAATGCCAGTATAAATGGAAGCGGCGACACCAGTGGACATGTAACTCTAGCGCAAGACCCTAGCGAGCCAAAAATTCGGACTCATTTGCAATTTCCTTAGATATTCAATCTCATCAGAATTTACGCAACTTTCGTGTCTATGCCCGGAAAGGATCTTTAGTATAGTGTATGGTTGCTCATGATGTACCTGAAGATATGCCGAACTGTAAATTGATTCCGCACCCACGATACGGGGCCATCAATCGAGACGGCGGCATGCAAATCGGGAGAACAGATTTGATTCTTGTGAGATCGAGTGCAAAGTTGAGACTCCCCTACTTGCTAGTGTACTCATTTCCGTTATCTCGTATTGATGTGACATTCATTAGGATGGGGGCTTCGATCTGATGCTCCAACCAGATGTTGATCTGGAAGCTTGTAAACAAGAGGAGAGCGACGACGGGATGACCGCTCTGGTATTTGAGTTTATTGCCTTATTTGCCCTTCTGCAGCATTGAGGAGGAAGCTAGTTAAGTAAAAAGTGTACTTAGCCTCGCTTCTGAAGTAACATTTTTTTTTT